TAATGTGTGGTGCCAGTGTGTCTGCCTGCTAAGCATAGGTATGGAGGTCATAGGAAACTTGCAGGAGTCAGTTCTCCCCTTCCACAATGTGGGTCCCAGTGATTAAACTCAGTTCTTCAGTTTTACCTACTGGGCTACCTCACTGATACACACACACACACACACACACACACACACACACCTCTTCCTCTTTTTTTTGTTTTGTTTTGTTTTTGTTTTTTTTTGAGACAGGATTTTAGTATCCCAAAATGGCTTTCAACTTGCTGTATAGTCGAGGATAGCCTTGAACTCCTGATCTCTTGCCTTCACTTGGAGTCACAGGCTATGCAACGTCACCTGGCTTTACCTTTCGGTTTTTATGAATAATGTTTCTGTGGACATGAATGTACAATCATCTCTCTAAATCCTTGCTTTTAAAACTGGTTCTAATGGGTACAGGTTTGCAACTGAGCCTGGGCTTCAGAATTCAAGGTGATTGTGTAACTTAGTGAGGTAGCAGTGTGAAGAGGTGGGGTTTGGGAATCTAATTCAGCTGGTGAAAGACCCCGCCCCTTGGCTCGTTCTCTCTCTCGGTGACACTCCCGTACGCGCGCGCACCCACACGCCTGGTGGCTGGCTCCCTCCCAAGCAGGTTCACCCAGGCGGGGCCGCGACCCAGGCCCCCGAGCCCCGCCCTATGGGGAACCTCCGTCCCAAGGTCAGCCATCTGGACACGGAGGGGGGAATTGAGTCTGTTGTACCAGGTACAGACCTTGAGAATATACTGACCTAAAATAACTCTGTACCTCATTAAATTGTCCAATAGAATCCCTGTAACTATGCTTTTCCCTTCTGCACTGTGCTTTTTTTTTTTTTTAAAGATTTTATTTATTTATTATGTATACAACATTCTGCTTCCATGTATATCTGCCAGAAGAGGGCACCAGATCTCATAACGGATGGTTGTGAGCCACCATGTGGTTGCTGGGAATTGAACTCAGGACCTCTGGAAGAGCAGTCGGTGCTCTTAACCGCTGAGCCACCTTTCCAGCCCTGCACTGTGCTTTTAGCTATATAAGGACCCCTTTCCCTTGGCTCAGGGCGCTTGGCCTAACAGAAGCTAAGTCGCCCGGGTACCCGTGTTTTCAATAAAGCCTCTTGCTTTTGCATCCAAGTTCGTGGTCTCGCTGATTCCTGGGTGCGGGTCTCCTTCTACGAAAGTACCTCTTCTGAGGTCTTTCACTGGTAAAGTGCTCACTGCACAGGCTTGGGGACATGTGGTCAATCCCGGGAACCTATGTAAAAGAGCCAGGTGTAGCTGTGGGCACTTGTAATCCAGTGCTGGGGAGGGAGAGACAGGCAGATTCCTGAAATCCCTGACCACAAATCTACCTAATTGGAGAGGTCAGGCCAATGAGAAGACCCTGTCTCATAAAGCAGGCCTGGGGATATAGGTCAAATGGTGAGGCAATGACCTACCATCCATGAGGGCCTCAGTTAAATCTCCAGTATTGTAATAAATAAGTCTATAAACAAACAATGTGTGTTTATAAACAAACCACACCATTGTTTATAAACAAACAATGGTGTGATTATGTTTAAAAAATTTTAAAGGATCATTCTTCTAATTCTTTTAGGGAATTCTCAAGAGTGGGGCAGCTGACTTTACCACTTTTAAAAAGTTAACATCTGCCAGGCATGATGGCACATGCCTATAATCCCAGCACACAGGAGCCTGAGGCAAGAGGGCCACACATTCTAGACTAGCCTGGCTGCATAGAAATATCATTGTCAACAAATAAAACAAAACAAAAATGTTAGTGTCTTAGTTAGGGTTACTATTGCTGTGATGAAACACCATGACCAAAAGCAACGTGGAGAGGAAAGAGTTGATTTGGCTTATCCTGCCACATCACTGGGAATCACTGAATAAGGGCAGGAGAGGAACTCAAATTGGCAGGAAACTAGAGGCAGCAACTGATGCAGAGGCCCTGGAGGGGTGCTGCTTACTGGCTTGCTCTCTCTGGATTGTTCATCCTGCCTTCTTATAGAACCCAGGACACCAACCCAGGGATGGCACCACCCACAATAGAATGGCCCCTCCCCCATAAGTCACTAATTAAGAAAATTCCCTACAGGTTTGTTGCCTATAGCTCACTCTTCAGGAGGAATTTCCTTTTCTTTTTTTTTCTTTCTTTCTTTTTCTTTTTTTGTTGTTTTGTTTTTTTCCAAGATAGGGTTCCTTTGTAACTTTGGAGCTTGTCCTGGAACTCACTCTTGTAGACCAAGCTGGCCAGGAAGGCACAGAGATCCACCTGCCCCTGCCTCTGCCTCTGCCTCTGGTACTAAAGGAGTGTGCCACCACCGCCCAGCAAGAAGGTATATTCCTAACTGAGGTTTCCTCCTCTCAGATGACTTAACTTGTGTCAAGTTGACATTAAAATTATCCAGCATAATTAGCAAGCTAGTACCTAACTTTACAGAGTAAGGTCACTAATAACATTAAGAAGTTAGTTAAGGGGGCTAGAGAGATGGTTCCATCTATAAGTGCTCACCGTGCAAGCACAAAGATCTGAGTTCAATTCTTAGCACCCACATAAAAAGCTAGATGTGGTGGCGTGCACTCCGCACTGTCGAGGTGGAGACAGGAGAATCCCTGGGGCTTGATGGTCTGCCATTCAAACCAAATTAGTGAACCCCAGGTCCCAGTGAGAGACCTTGTCTTTTTTTTTTTTTTAAGATTTTATTTATTATGTATACAACATTCTGCTTCCATGTATATCTGTACACCAGAAGAGGGCACCAGATCTCATAACGGATGGTTGTGAGCCAACATGTGGTTGCTGGGAATTGAACTCAGGACCTCTGGAAGAGCAGTCGGTGCTCTTAACCTCTGAGCCATCTCTCTAGCCCCCAGAGAGACTGTATCTTAAAAAAAAAAAAAGGTCTTTAGTCTCAGCACTAAAGAGGCAGAGGCTGGCAGATCTCTTGTGAGTTTGAGACCAGCCTGGTCTACAAGAGCGAGTTCCAGGACAGCCTCCAAAGCTACACAGAGAAACCCTGTAATAAAAAACTTAAAAAAAAAAACAAAAACCTAAAAATAAATAAAGTAGATGGCTCCTGAGGAACAGTAGCCAAGGTTTGTTCTCGAGCCTCCACATACACAAACAAATAACTAAAACCAAAAATAAGCAGAAAGTACCACTCGGTGGATAAATACACTTGCTGACAAGCTTGGCAACCTAGGTTGGAGCCCTGAGACCCACATGGTAGAATGTTCTTAGGAGTTCAAGCATACACAAACAATAAAAAAGTATAATTTTTAAAGTAAATCAAGCATATGGCCTTCACGGACTTATTGACAGTATGTTAGCATGACTATGAAAGTGCACACAGCAATCTGTTTGCCTTATCTCCATGTTATGGATAAGTTTTCTTTGCCATCTCCCCCATTATAAGTACGTGTGGTCTGTGGCATTGGCTGTTTTGTTACAGGGAGCACCCAGAAACGTTCAATGAGAGAGGTACTGCTGAGGCCTACATCACTTGGCTGCCACATGGATGTCCTAAGATGGTGCCTGCAAGCTGCCTGCCAGAGAGCCTGACACACAGTGGGCCCTTAAGACATAGGAGTACTTATTGTTATGCGACAGCCAGGGTGGGGGAGGGAGGCTGTGCCTCCTGTCATGGAGGGGACTTGGGCAGGGGCCTGGGGCCCTGCCCCTCCTTGCCATAATGTTGGGGGACCTGATATATCTTCTGCGGAGTTTCTATGGCTTTCTTGCTTCTTCTGGCACCATAGGAGCAGTCTTGGCCTGGCTGATAAGCTTTAAGCCAGCCTTGTTTGGCTTCCTCTTCCTTCTGCTATTGCTCAGCAACTGGATGGTGAAGCATGAACTCAGCCAGGCTCCTTCCAAGCCCCAGATGGTAAGCAAGCTAGAGCTTAACTTCAAGTACAGGTTAGGAGACACTCAGAGCTGGACTGGGCGTGGGGTGTTGGTAGCTCAGAGGTTAATGGGGTGGGCTGAAGAATTTTAAGACCCTGGGCTAAGTCCCTGCTCTGTGGTTTCCTCTTGGATGGTAGTAGACAAATCCCTTCAATAAGGTTTCTTCAGCTGTGGAACAGGGGCCATAACAGACTCCCCCATGCTATCCATTGTTTCAGGCACACTATCAACTATTTAAAGTGGAAAAAACTTTAAACCGATGTAAATATAAAATGTGTATGTTTTCTAAAATAGAATAATGAAGACATCAAAAATGCGCAAATTGTGTCAGTCATTTTTCTTTAACCTCTACCTAAACTAGTCTTTTTTTTTTTTTTTTTTGGTTTTTTGAGACAGGGTTTCTCTGTGTAGCTTTGGAGCCTATCCTGACACTTGCTCTGGAGACCAGGCTGTTCTCACAGAGATCCTCCTGTCTCTGCCTCCCGAGTGCTGGGATTAGAGGCGTGCGCCACCAACGCCCTGCCGAACTAGTCATCTTATAAAGAAAAGAGGATTCTTTTGACCCTCAGTTTTAGAGGTTCTGACTCTTGCGTGGGTGGACCCCTTGCTAAACCTTCTGACAAACCGGTTATGGGAGGGAAGAACAAAACTGAGCACATGTAACATGAAAAATAAGGGGCCCAGAGACTGATGTTGGGGTTCAAGCTTCAAGCTGAAAACCAGAAAAGCAAAGTAGCTGGCCACTAGCTCTTACCACTACCTCAGGCCAAATGGGCTGATCCTGCTGCCTCTCCTCAGTGTGGCTGTAGAATCCTGGGACTGAATGTCTTCCTATCCTCAATGTGGCTGGAGAATGAATCTGATACTGAGACTTTGCTCTTGTCTTACATACCTCCCTAATGTTGGGGTTAAAGGCGTGTGATCCCAGGTGCTGAGATCATCTTTTGAGCTGTTTCTCTTTAGGACTGGATCAATCTTGTGTAATCTGGGTGGCTTTGGACTCACAGAGATCTGTCTACCTCTTAATCCTGAGTCCTAGGATTAAAGGTGTGTACCACCACCTCCTAGCTTCTGGCTGATGGGACTAAAGGTGTGTGTCTGGCTTCTATGACTTGTGGCTAACTTTGCCACAACTTGTGGCTAACTTTCTGGATCTTCAGGCAAGCTTTAATAAATCATAAATAATATGTCACCATAAGCACATATGGCCAGGAAGTGAAAAGGAGCTCTGGGAAACAAATCAAGGTTCCATAACCCCCTTTGAAGGAATGCCTGTGAAGTTCCCTCTCTTAAGGGGTTTCACCACTTCTCAAATACACGGTGTGTTTGTGTGTGGGATATGGGACAGATGGACACTGAAGCTTTAATTTAACTCATAGGCCTTCCTCACTATAGCAGATGTCTTATGCTAGGAAGTGCAGTAAAGCAAGAACACCCCTGGGTGGGATAGTTTTTGATCTCGCGAGTGTGTGTGTGTGTGTGTGTGTGTGTGTGTGTGTGTGTGTGTGTGTTTAGTAGCTTCTCTGGCCTCTACATTAGGAAATACTAGTATCACTTCCTATCCCATTTGCCACAACCTAGAATATATACAGATGTTGCCAGATGTTACTAGGAAAGGGCAAAATAGTATCTTATTTAAAATAAATGAATGGGCCAGGCAGTGGTGGCGCACACCTTTAATCCCAGCACTCTGGAGGCAGAGGCAGGCAGATCTCTGTGAGTTCAAGACCAGCCTGGTCTACAGAGTTGAGTTCCAGGACAGCCTCCAAAGCCACAGAGAAACCCTGTCTCGAAAAAAAAAAAAGAAGAAGAAAAGAAAAGACAAGAAAAAAATAAACGAATGGGTTAGAGAGGTGGCTCATCCTTCGTTTAAGAGAGCTGGCTGCTCGTGCAGAGGGCTCAGATTCAGTTCCCAGCACCCACCATGGCGGCTCACAGCCATCTGTAAGGGGATCTTGTGCCCTCTTCTGGCCTCTGCTGGCACTGCATGCACATGTTGCACAAACATACATGCAGGCAAAACCACCATACACATAAAATAAGAATCATTTGGGGCTAGAGTGATAGCTTAGTAATTAAGAGCACTTGCTGTCCTTGCAGAGGACCTGAATTTGGGTCCCAGCACCTACATGGTGGCTTACAATTGCTTATAACTCCAGTTCCAGGGATCTAATGGCCTGGAATAATGCCCACAGGCACTCATATGGTGATTCAGCCATCCATAATTCCAGTTCCAGGGGATCCAATGCCCCCTGTCAATCTCCTTGGGTACATACATACACAGAGGCAAAACACTCAAACATAAAGTAAATAATTCTAAATCTAAAAGTAAAATAAAATCATTTTAAATTAAAAGGTGGCATCTGAGGGCTAGGGATATGTCCCAGTAGGCAAAGCACTTGCTGGCAAAAGTGAAGACTGGAATTGGATGCCCAGTACCCACTTAAAAGCAAGTAGGTGGGCCCTGCGGTGGTGGCACATGCAGAGGCAGGCAGATCTCTGTGAGTTCGAGGCCACAGTCTACAAAGCTACACAGAGAGATCCTGTCTTGAAAAACCAATACATACATACATACATACATACATACATACATACATACATACATACAAGCAAGTAGGTGTAGAGGCCGACTGTAATCCTAGCCTGTAGCAGGTGGAGATGGAGGATCCCCAGAATAGGCTGGCTAGCCAACACAGTGAGCTTTGCGTTCAGGGAGAACTTTTCCTCATGCATAGGGTGGAGAGCAGTTGAGGAAGACACCCAACATTAGCCTGGGGCCTCTTCACACATGAACACACATGCTCTTACACATTCTGGCATACAAACACACATGCACACCATCCAAATGTACATTTGCAAAGTGAAGATGATTAAAACACTAAATACCAAATTCAGGACTATAACTTATTTGGAGGAAGGGAACTCCAGGGGGAGAACTTCACAGAAATTTCAATTATATTTGTGAAATTTCTGCCCTCTTCTTCCTTGCTTCTCCTGCTGTCCCTTCATCCCCCCTCCTTACTCTCCCACTGAGCTGCACCCCCAGTGCTTTATTTGATTTCTTTTTTTTAACTATTCTCTATTTTTTTCTTTTTTCAGTCTGAGTGCTCTGTGTATACGCCTGCATGTCAGAAGAGGACACCAGGTCTCATTGCAGATGGTTGTGAGCCACCATGTAGGTGCTGGGAATTGAACTCAGGGCCTCTGGAAAGAGCAGCCAGTGTTCTTAACCACTAAGCCACTTCTCGGGCCACCCTTTATTTTATTTCTTAAGTTTACATGAGAAAGGTGGGAATTTGGTGTAATATTTACTGTTTTTTTCCCCACATCTTTTTACTTTGTTTTTTGAGGTAGGGTTTCATGTAGCCCAGGGTGACCTCCAATTCACTGTGTAGTCAAAGATGACTTTGAACCCCTGATCCTCATGCTTCCATCTCCTGAGTGCTGGAGATGGAAGCATCTCCACACCTAGATTATATACTGCTAGAGTTCAAACCCCAAGCAAACAGAGCAAACAGTCCACCAACTGAGCTGGATCCCATCTTGAAATAGTTTTAAAGTTTTCCTTCCTTCCTTTTCTTTCTTTTTCTTTCTTTCTTTCTTTCTTTCTTTCTTTCTTTCTTTCTTTCTTTCTTTCTTTTGTTTTTTGAGACAGAGTTTCTCTGTGTAACAGCTCTGGTTGTCCTGGAACAGGTTGGTTTCAAACGCAGAGATCCTCTTGCCTCTGCCTCCCAAGTGCTGGGATCAAAGGTGTGTGCCACCACCTGGTAAGGTATTTCTTAAGACCAACAGTTTGGGCTGGCAAGATGGCTCAGTGGCTAAAGGCACTTGCTACCAAGCCTGATGACCTAAGTTAGAATTGACTTATACACACATACGCTGAATGAATGAATGAATGAATGAATGAATAAATGTGTACAGTTTTTAAAGACCAGTAGTTTGTAGCTTAATCCAAAGGGGAAAATGTTACTGTAAACTGTGGGGAGGGCACATGAGGACTTGTGAGGATTGAATGCTGACAGTATGTCTAGAAACCAGGTTTTACTGATTCTGGCAAAATGCTCAGAAAGAAATTGGAAAATGAAGATTTTGGAGACAGACATGTCCGTATTTATGCCAATGATCTTGATTTTTTCTTTAATGGGTGTGGGTGACCTTGTGCCATGATGCATGTTGGGATGACAATCTGCAGGAGTCAGCTCTCTCCTTCCACTGTGTGGGTCCTGGGAGTCAGACTCAGTCCGACTTGGTGGCAAGAACCTTTACCCATTGAGCCATCTTGTCAACCCACAGAGCTTTATGTCTTCTGCAACCAGCAGATCATTCCTATGAAATGAAGACAACCATGGCTCTTAGACCTTTGGAAAAGGAAGTGTTGGCTGTAGGGTGATGACAAAATGACTTTCCCTCACTGGATCCCAATTCTCCCAGCCTTGACAGAAGGCCTGAGAATTGATAAAATGGCCTGGAGGGCTGGGAGCGTAGCTCAGTAGGTGGAGCCTAGCATGCATGAAGCCCAGAGGGTTCGCTCCCCAGCACTGAATAAGTTAGACGTGCAGGTGTGTGCATGTGCAACCCCAGCACTGGAGAGGTAGAGACAGGAAGATGAGGAGTCCAAGGTTATCCTGGGCTATGTAGTGAGTTCCAGGCCATCCTGGGCTAAATGAGACTCTGTCTCAAAGATGAAAAATAAAATTAACCTGGCCTGGAGCAAATGTTCTGTGCTGCCTTCGAAGGAATTGTCATTATGAATTGACTCTTTTCTTCTGATGGGGCTCTTAGGAGGTGGCAGAAAAACCGGCTCCAGAAGTCAATCCTAAGGACGTTACCACGAACAACAAAGAGTTTGAGAAAGTGAATAATTGCTTCGCCCTCCATGGTAAGGTCCTCGAACGGCTGTTGTTCAGTGAGATGAAGCTGAAGGTCTTGGAAAATCAGATGTTCATCATATGGAATAAAATGAGCCGCCGCGGCCGGTGGACCAGCAGACACCGGAACCACTCCAGGAGGCGGCACTGGGCAAGAAGGAACGGCTCCACTTACTCCACCATCTCCAACTATACTACCCATCCCCACAGTGAATATGATTGAAATGGGCTAGCCTCTGCTGACGGAATCTTCACCCAGTGTATGAGTCTGGTTTTTGTTGTTGTTGCTGCTGTAACAAAATATCCCTAGCCTGGGAACTTGTAAAGAAAAGAGCTTTGTTTAGTTTCCAGTACTGGAGGTCCAAGAATGTGAAGCTGGCTGTGGCTTTTTGTGAGGGCTTCAAAGAGGATAGCATCACTGTGTGTGTGCGTGTGCGTGTGCGTGTGCGTGTGCGTGTGTGTGCGCGCGCGCACGCTCGCACATGCATGAGAGAGAGAGAGAGAGAGAGAGAGACAGAGAGACAGAGAGACAGAGAGGCAGAGAGACAGAGAGACAGAGAGAGAGACTGACTGACTGACTGACAAAGACAGGCAGAGACGACACACACACACACAGGTGAGAAAGGAAGTAAAAGAAAGCCAGGAAAGCCGAAGCTACTTTATAACAACTTCTCCTGCATTAGGGATGTAGCTCAGTTATAGAGCACTTGCTTAGGATATACAAGGTCTTGGGTTCAATCCCCAGTATTTCCAAATGAACAAAACAAAACTTTTAGCACTTTCTTTGGCTCATCAGGTTAAGGCACTTCCCACCAGGTTCCCCTGGTAACCTGAGTTCAATTCCTAGAACTCACTTGGCTGGGGGAGAAAACTGACTCCTGCAAATTGTTCTTTAACCTCCACACTTGCAACAAACGTACCTAAAATAATAAGTAAAATAAAAACAGCAAACACCTCTCTTCTCTTGAGGTAACCAACCCAGTCCCAGACTGTTGCTGTGAGAAAAACAAAAACAAACAAACAAAAAAACCATGATTAAAAGCAACCTGGGAAGGAAAGGGTTTATTTGGCTTATAGGTTACATCATTAAGGGAAACCAAGGCAGGAACTCAGGATCTGAAACAGAGACCATGGAGGAATGCTGCTACCAGCTCAGTCAAACACCTTTCTTACCTTTCTTTTTGTTTTGTTTTGTTTTGTTTGTTTTCTTTTGAGATAGAGTCTCACCATCTAGACCAAAACTGGCCTGGAACTCACTCTGAGGACCAGGCTGGCTTTGAACTCAGAGATCCACCTGCCTCTGCCTCCTGAGTGCTGGGACTAAAGGCGTGCGCCACCACATCTAGCCCTCAACTACCTTTCTTACAAAGCTCAGGCCCTCTTCCCAGGGATGCTGCTTTCCACAGTGAGCCTGGCCCTCCTACATCAATCAGCAATCAAAAAGCCGCCCATGGACCAATCTGGTAGAGATAATTCTTCAGCTGAGAGTCCCTCTTCCCAGGTGTCATGTTGACAACCAAGATTAGCCACCGCACCACTCTTGCAGAGGACCTAGGTCCAGTTTCCAGCACCCACGTCAAGAAGCTCACAACCTCCTGCAGTCCCAGCTTCAGGGGATCCAACACCCTTCTCTGGTCTCCCTGGGCACGTTCATACATGTGGGATAACAAACTCACCCAGGCACACACACACAAACTTAAAAAGAAATCTTAAAAATGTTTATTTCAGTTACTTATGTGTGCACGTGCACCCTGAGGATCCAACTCAGATTGTCCGGCTTGGCAGGAGGACAGATGGCTTTGTCAGTAAGCACAAAGCTTGAGTTCAGTCCTCAGAACCCATGGAACACGGCTAGACATGGTGGTACACGCTTACACACTGGTAATCTCAGGGCTGGAAGGCAGAGATGGGGATGCCTGGGGCTCACTGGCCAGAAAGCCTAGCCTAGCACGCACACACCACACATTTGCACATGGCATGCCAAGAGATAAAAGAGGTAAGCAAATATGGAGTGAGAGACTAGCACCAGTTCTCTTACGGAGAACCAGAAAGGAAACTGCCACCTTGTGTGAACTCATTGTGAACCCCAAGCCATGCTGGCATCTCCTCTAAAAATAATCTCTCCCACCATGCCCTGCAACCTGCTTAGGTAACCAGCCAGTCCCCAAAGGTGCCCCCCATCTTCCTGTTGGCTTGTGTGGTTTCTTCCCTGGATTCCCTCACCTACCGTGTCTGCTGTTCTAATGCATCCTCTTCCAAAGCCAACACCTCCCTCCAGACAGCTTCACTCCAGCCAGCATTCAACACAGAAGTCACATCTTCGGTGAATGCTTTCTGTTGTGGGATATTTGTACACCATGTGATGATGTATTGCTATGGTTGGTATAATAAAAAAGCTGAACAGCCAATAGCTGGGCAGGAGAGTATAGGCGGGACTTATGGGTAAAAAGAGAACTCAGAGAAGAAGAAAGGCAGGTTGCTAGCCAGAAGTGGAGGAAGCAGGATGGGCAGGACAGAGATGAGGTAATGAGCCTTGTGGAAGAACATAGATTAAAAAAAATATGGGTTAATTTACATTATAAGAACTAGTTAGGAACCAGCCTAAGATAAGGCTGAGCTTTTGTAATTAGTAATAAGTCTCCACATCATTATTTGCAGGCTGGCGGTCCTGATGAGAAAGTACTACTATAGGGGCTGGAGAGATGGCTCAGTGGTTAAAAGCACTGGCTGCTTTTCCAGAGGACCCAGGTCCAATTCCCAGCACCTACACAGTGGCTCACAATTGTCTATAACTTCTATTTCAGGGAATTGGACACCCTCACACAGACATTCATGCAGGTAAACACAAATGGACATAAAATAAAAATAAATTATTAAATAAAAGAAAGCACTACTAGAGCTTTCCCAGAAGCTCACAGTCTGGAAGCTTGATGTCCATTAAGAGGTGAAGTGTAGGCAGACTCTAGAGATGGAGCTCAGTGGTGGAACATTTGCCCGGCATGTGAGAATCCCTGGGTTCCATCCTAGCACTTCAGAAAAGAAAAAAAAATACGTTAAGTGATTGGGTCATGAGAATTCTTAATCCAATAGGGAAAACTGGGAATACATGTGGGTATATAATGAATACATGAAGTAGTCTGGGGATGTAGCTGGAAGGCACAGCACTTGCCTAGCACGATTGAGGCCCAGGGTTTCTGTCCACAGCACTGCAAATAAATACATCCTGCAAGTTGTCACCCCAGGACACCCCTGTCTGCCTCCCAGTGCTGGGATTATAGGACTGCAAGGTCATGTCCAGTCTTCCCCCCTCCCCCAGTCTGTGTGCTATGGAACTGAACTCAGGTCCTCATGCTTGGCAGCAAACACTTTACCCACAGAGTCAGCTCCCAATCCCTGTACTTTTTGAGACAGGGTCTCACCAAGTTGCCCAGGCTGGTCTGGCACTTGTTTGATAACCTTTGGCAGGCTTTAAACTTTTGGTCCTCCTGCTCAGCCTCCTGAGTAGTGGATAAAGATACTTGCCACCATGCCTTATGACCTGGGTTTGTTCATGGTAAAAGGAGAGAATTGGCGTCAACAAGTTGCCCTCTGACCTCCATGTATGTGACTACAGGCACTCTACCAAAAATAAACAGACATAAAATGTTTAAACTTTTAAAAATGACGTCTACAGAGAATAAACAAACTAAAAGACAGCTGTGAGCCTGAGAGTAGGGCAATTATCTCCCTGCTGAGAGAAGAGCCCCATGAGAGGAACGGTAATTACAGTGACTTTATTGGGCACTCTTGGTATACATAGGCAGCGGCCCTCATGCTCTACCTGTGACTATTGTCTTATTCAGTCTTCACTCCCACACCGCTAGGGTAGTGTCTTCAATCGCCCGTGTACAGCTGAGGTCCAAGAAAAAAAGAGTATCTGACCAAAGTCACACCATCACGGAGCACAGCTGGGGTTTGAACTCTGCAGTATGGCTCAGGAGTCCTGCAATGGGTGGAACCCAAACTGTGCAGTCAGAGGAACTTACATTTCCCCAAAGATCAAGAGACAGCTGGGGACTGGAGAGATGCTCACGGGGTAAGAGAACTTGCTCCTTTTGAAGAGGACCTGAGTTTGATGTCAAACAGCTGTTAGCTGTCTGAAACTCCATCTCCAGGGAGTTTCTGACCTCCACATCTCTCTTCTGACCTCCACAGGACACTACACTTCTGTGCACAAAGTATACACACAGATACACACAAATACATAATTAAAAAGAAAAGTATTTTAAAGGGAGAGACAGCCAGGATGATAAATCTTATTGCAGAAAGACGATGGATAATTCCTCCTGGCTGGTGTGTGTGTGTGTGTGTGTGTGTGTGTGTGTGTGAGAGAGAGAGAGAGAGAGAGAGAGAGAGAGAGACAGAGAGAGAGAGACAGAGAGAGACAGAGACAGAGGCAGCGAGAGACAGAGACAGACAGAGAGACAGAGAGAGAAAGACAAAGAGAGAGAGACTGTGTGTGTGTGTGAGAGAGACAGAGAGAGAAAAAGAGAGACAGAGAGAGAAAGAGAGAAACACACAGTGTGTGTGTGAGAGAAAGAGAGACAGAGAGAGACACAGAGAGAGACAGAGAGAGAGACAGAGAGAGAGAGAAAGAGAGAGAGAGAGAGGAAGAAAGAGAGAGATATCTTTCTTGTTTCATGGGTACAGAACCTGAACACAACCAGATAAAGGTGTGTGTGTGTGTGTGTGTGTGTGTGTGTGTGTGTGTGTGTGTGTGTGTGTGGTGAGATCTTTCTTGTTTCATGGATATAAAGCCTGAGGAGCAATTCTCTAGTAAAATACAGGAGCAAGCTGGACCAAGATTTTACCCACGTATATCTGCTGCCACCTAGTGGTGATATCACTATATGTCATCATGTGGATTCTTTTCTGGCTGAATTTCTCACCTGGTTAGCAGATGAGAAATAGCTGGTCTGGAGCTGGGTCAAATTATGTATCCAGAGCCGATCCCAGCACTTGGGAGACAGAGGCAGTCAGATCTCTGTGAGTTGGAGACAAACCTGGTCTACAAGAGCTAGTTCCAGGATAGGCTCCAAAGCTACACAGAGAAACCCTGTCTGGAAAACAAAACAAAACAAAACAACAAAACAAAACAAACAAACAAAACAAAGTTAAATATCCAGGAGGATCACCACAGAAGACTTGTGGGTGTCCAGAAGGGGAGGCTTGCAGGGTCCTACAGTGAGTTGACTGACTCAGATCATCAGCCCTAGCTTTGACATGCTGTCCTTGCCCTGGAGGATCTCATAGTCAGTCGGACAGATGAGGGTAAGGAAGGCGTTCCCAGCGAGGCTCTTGGGCTCCAACCTTAGCCCTCGCGCTTCCTGGGAACTTCATATCTCTTTCACATGTCTGAACATCAGTTTCTTTGGATGGAAACTGTGACAAATTAGATTCTGCTTTGTGCAACTTCAGTGCAGGCCAAAGACCAGACAGTCTGTAAGATGGCTCAGCAGGTCAAGGTGCTTGCCACCAAGCCTGAGGACCCAAGTTCAATCCCTGGGACCCACGTGGTGGAAAGAGAAAACCAACTCTTGCAAGTTGGCCTCTGACATTCCAGAAAATCCACTTAGAAAAACCTAAAGGCAGCCTTAGGGTCAGGTTGGAGGGTTGATACCAAAGCCAACTCATGAGAGCCAGCCTTGGCAGAACCCTCGTCGGGGAGGCTTCTTGCTTTACAATCTTGCTGCTTAATTAGGTGTGGTTATCATTGTTCTCATTTACAAAGAAACCAAGAGAGTGACACTCTCAGGTCACCATGGTGCTCCTGAGAATTTAATAGGAAGGTGTTGCCCTATTTCCTAAGAGGTGACTGGTGAGCTGGCTTGGGCATTCAAAAGGGTCTTAGAGGCCTGTGGGTCAGATCCTGGTGGCCGTCCTTTGTCACTTCTTTTCTACCCAGGGTCCACAGAGATTCCTTTGTGCCTCCACTCCCACCCCCACCCCTGATCTATAGCTTCTGCGGTCACATGGAGTATGGAGCAATCTGACATTTCTGCCCAGTGTACCTGCTGCTGGGGCTTCTGGGAGCTAATCCTCCAGGCAGAGGGCAGGGAGGGATTAGCACTGGAGAAATGAGGGCCACATCTGTCACTGCTGGGCATTTGGGAAAAGCCCATGCTGAAAACCCAGGAGGACTCTTCTGTCTCTTGGAACACGGGGAACCCTGTGAAAGACTTGAATTGTGGGCCCTGTCGGGTTCTTCTGGAAGTGGGTAAGATATGAGAATCTCTGGCTGGGTAGGTCATTGAGACACAGCCTGGGGAGGGGATCTGGAATTAAATGCCTGGGTCTGTTGGTAGATTTGGAGTAGGTATGGTGCCTGTCTGTTTAGGTTTGTCTGAGGTAGAAGGGTTTGGGGGAATGTGGGTCTCCCAGTGGGGGAAAAAAAAACAGGGCATTTCAGGGCAATTGGGCAGTGGGAGTCGGCCTGGATGGGGCTTCTGGGCTTGGGAAGTAAGAGTCCCCTTTCCCCAACATCCAAATCTTGCCTTCTTACCTTTTTTCTAGCTATTCTCTGTTCCCCTCTTCTCCCAGAACATTTTTTAAAATGTGCACGAGTGTTTTGCCTACCTGTGTGTTTGCATCAGATACCCTGGAACTGGGTTACAGACAGTCGTGAGCTTGGATGCAGGGAACTGAACCCAGATCCTCTGGAATAGCAGTCAATGATCTTAAGCTCCGAGCCATCTCCCCAGGCCCTGTCTCCCCACCGCTCCCACCGCCTTTTGCATTTGCTCCTCTCAGTTTCCTGCCCACAGGGTCTCCTGGGCTACAGGCCTGAATCCTCAAGGAGCTGGAATCTTCCATGCCTTGGGGAGCATGAAGACTCGGGTGAGGCTCAAACCAGAAGTCACACGTGTCTTTGTCAGCATCCCCGTTCCTCCCCAGCCACCTGCCCAGTGGCTCCACCCTCCTTCCCACTCTGTCTGGCTCACCTGCAACCCTCACCAGAGCCTCAGCCCTGGCCTGCTTCTCTGTGGAGCGAGCACAGCAACCATGACAGCTGTGCTAGCACTTGTCATCGTTACACAACTATGCAGTGGTCCATGCCTCCTGCACAGCTTTCTAAGGGCTGCTTTCACCTGAGCTCTCCAGGGGGAGGGGCAGGGGTCAGGCTCCAAGAGGTGAAGTCATTTGCCCAAAGCTGGAAGGCACAGAGCTGAAGTCAGGTCTGTTTGTTGCCCTTTCCAAAGTGTTATACAAGTGATGCTGCAGCCCGACACTCTAGGAGTCTGGCTTATGTCACGTAGCCCCATGCATCTGAGAGTCACCCACATTACTGTATGTACCAATATTCTTTACATGGCTATTACATGGTACATGGATGCATGTACCATGATTTGTTTTCTCATTCATCGTTGAAGGACATTTGGGTTGATCCAGGCCTTTGAAAACTTGTATGTGTTTGATGTACAAGCACGAGGACCCAAGTTCAATCCACAGTACTGCATAAAAGCTGAGGAGGCAGAGACAGGTAGATCTTTGGAGTTCTCTTGCCAGCTAGCCTTGCCTAATCACTGAGCCTCATGTCCCACTGCCTCAAAAAACAAGGTGGAGAGAAAAAAAGGCACCTCGTTTTGTCTTCTGATCTCTCCATGTACACAGCACACACATGCACTCACACACAGACAGAAATTCAACAAAGAACGACTTCTGTATGGACCCCGAGTTCTAGAGGCAAAAAATAATAATTCTGAAGCCCAGTGGAATTTCCAGATATAAAAATAAAGCTGCAGCTGGGGTAATGGTGATGCATGCTTTTAATTCCAAGCATGTGGATCTCTGAGTTCGAGGCCAGCCTAGTCCACAGAGTGAGTTCCAAGACAGCCAGAGCTACACAGAGAAACCTTGAAAAACTAACAAATGAAAAAGGATTCAACAGAGAATTCCATCTTCTCCTTCACACTGAAGAGTCTCCCCACATGGTGTGTGTGTGTGTGGGCTGGCTAGGGTCTCAATGCATCCAGGAGGCAGGACTTAATTTTGACCTGTCATTTAACTTGCTGCACAGAGTTAAATGCTTTAACTCCAAAGCATGTTCCCAAGAGGCAGGAAAATAACAGTAGCTGCTTGCATTGAGGTACGAGGATTAATTACACGGATGCTGATAAAACTCTTAGGACAGGGCCTGTTGATGCACATGTTGGCTGCTACCACTGCGTGAGAATGATGGAGTCAGCAAGCTAAGTGTCCTAGACGCTCCTGCACCCAGAGGAGTCACAGGCAGCAGCTCCATGAGGGTAGAGATCCCCGAGGCTGGCTCCCTGACTCACTCCAGGAACCTGGCACAGTGCCTGGTGCATAGTGGGCACTCAGGAAAAACGTGTTGCTAGGACGGGGATAAGGAAGCCACCTTGTCAGATTCAAGGTTTGAGAACTGGGCAAGACTCAAACAAACATCTATTCACCCCAGGAAAAGCACCCATGACAGATCAAAGAAATGTTCCCACCCAAGCCTAGTTTAGTGAACTAGTGAGCTTGTGGGGTCACGCACAGTAGGGGTGTCCTAGATTCATTTCTGTTCATCACCGAGGCTCTTCTGCCTGTTTTGGAAGGCTGACATGTAGACAGGATGACATGAATAGCCTTCTGGAACCCACGACCACACTGAGCAGTACCTGAAGCTCACATGCTGGGAGCTTCAGGCTTTCCCACTGGGTACTCTATCCAAGGTTCAAGATCAGGAACTGGAGGTGCAGGAGAGGCAGGTGCCCTGAACGTGGGGTGTGGCAAGGCCTACGCCGTGCACACCTCCAACACATGCTGAGTAGCCAACCAGCACACCAAAGGCTACAGAAGAGAAAGGGGACAGGTGCCCCTGGCATGGAAGGCTCTCCCATTAGGGAAGCCAGCTGACCATGGGAGGAGTGGGAAGGTAGGGCATCGTTCTGCACTAAGGAACTTCCATGCACTCCCTTACAGGTGTAGCCTTGGGAGGGACACAGGCGAGAAGAGTTGGGGAAGACTTCCTGGAGGAGGTGGAATTTCAGTGGAGCTCAGGATAGCTTGATAAGCACATGTGAGGTGAGTTGAGGTGAGGACAGGACACCGGGGGCCAGACCAGGTGTGTAGAGCTGATGAAGTGTTTATCCTGGGGAGACCCTTGGCTTCACAGGTAGCATTTCAGTGAGGATACCTTCATCTCCCTGCTGATCTTAGAGTTCATGACCTGCGTCTTTGCTTCTTTAGGCCTGCCACCAGCCCCGTCTCCTAAGAGGGAAAAAGAAATGGTTTTTGTGGGCCCTCAGTGGCTTCCTCTTCCTCTTCTCAGTGGCCATGACTGGCTGCTTCCTGTGGCAGTACCACCTCCCCAAGCTGCAGTCTGGTGAGTGAAGAAGCCACTCACTCCCACTCAGAGGGTATGGGTCCCCACTGGGCCTGGAGCAGCCAACGATGTGGGGGTGAAGGAGGGCAAAGGCCTCTTCACTCCGAGTCACACTGTCCATCTCTGGTCTCAAGAGCTCTCTGGGCTTGGTCAAGCTCTTATAAACAAAGTGAAAACCCTATTGACAGCAGGGTTCATTCAGTTGACCCTGGGGGTCAACTCAGGGTTCCTGAGAAGCTCAAACAGAGGCTGATGAAATGGCTCAGCAGGTAAAGGCACTTGCCAAATAAGCCTGATAGCTTCGGTTTGATCCCCAGAACCCATGTGAAGGTTGAAGGAAAGAACTAACTCCATGGACTTGTTCTCTGACCTCCACATGCATGCATATGGTGTGTGTGTGTGTGTGTGTGTACACAACTGTGTATGTGCCTCATGTGCATATACTAATTTAAAATTTTAGTTTTAAAAAGTAAAGTTTAAGCCGGGCGTTGGTGGTGGACGCCTTTAATCCCAGCACTCGGGAGGTAGAGGCAGTCAAATCTCTGTGAATTCGAGACTAGCCTGGTCTACAAGAGTGAGTGCCAGGACAGCCTCCAAAACCACAGAGAAACCCTGTCTTGAAAAACAAAGCAAAACAAAACAAATACAAAGTAAAGTTTAAACAGTGCTTCCCTTGCTTTGTTGGCTGGCCTGACCCTTGCCCCCTTGAAAGATCCCCTCATTCCAACTCGGACTCCAGAAGGCCATAGCATCCAGCACCCCAGTCCAGTCTCTACTGCATTAGGGAGCAGCTTCTCCCAGTCCTGTCGCTCATATTGCCAGTGTCAGTGCTCAGCAAGATGCCCAGGGCTCCCATGGCCCCAAGAAGCCTTCCCAGACACAGTCCCTTTTACAGTCTCCCCAGTGTCTCCATCCACCACCCCAGTCCTTTCTGGGGTAAATTCCTTTTCAAGGGACTTCTTTGCTGCTCAAGCAAATAGATCACAGCTGGGCAGGCTGTTCCGAGCTACGATTCTCAAACTACCAAGCTGTGATGGACAGGTGGTACTAGAAGTCCACAAAATGAATTTGTAGTGGGGAAACATCAAGATATTTGAAATCTGAGCTGAGCTGTGCAAGCAGATCCAGTACAGTCAGTGTCAACCACGGTAAGTGTCCCAGGGCTGGGTCGACCAGATGGCTCATTGGATAAAGATACCTCCACCAAGCCTGATGACTTACACTTGACCCTTAAAATCCACTTGGTGGAAAAAGAGAAAATTCCTCTGGTCAGGGTTTCCTCTGACCTCCACAGTCATGCTGTGGTAACCCCCCAACCCCACCCAAATGTGGGCACTTTCAGGCCCTACCCAGACTTGCTGATTCCACCATACATTGTGAGACTTCCCAGGTGCTATCTGTGTGTCTAGCTACAGATGCCAGACCCACCCAAGTCCCAAGCTGACAAAGCTAAGGCTCTATCCAAAACTTCTACTCCAATGACCAAGCCCCCACCATCTACTTATTTATCTGTCTAAGGAATAAACCACCCCAGGGACTAGGGGTGTAGCTTAGTGTCTTGCCTGGGGTCTATCTCCAGCACCACAAGGGAATAAACACACCAAACTCACCAGCTGATAATTTCTCATGGTTCTGAGGGGCTAGCTAACAGTTCTACTGCTGGTCTAGCCTGCTCTCTTCAAGAAAGTATGCAAGTCACTTGGGATTGGAGCCTCCCTAGGGTCTTGTGCTCTCAGGGATAATTTTCCAGATGTGTCCATGTGATGATGGCTACTCCCTGGACAAGTACAGATGAGACTGACTTCATGACCAGGGCCTGCATTCAGTTCTGGGAACAGAATAAACTGCCTCTGCTGCTTCTGGCCTGAAGACCATCTGGGGTTTCAAGTTCATGTCACCCTAACATACACAACTATCTTGAGGTAGAGATGGATAAACGGATGGATGGATGAGACTGAGCCTGTCAGGAGAAAGGGAGGGTGGGGACTAGTAGCTGAGACCTGAAGAGGTTCAATCCTAAAGGTGACACTATGCCTTGGCTGGCCCATGTCTGAACATTTTCTGGGAAGGCTCCTGCTGGTGGGAGGATGCTCCCCAAGGCATGGCTCTGGCTTTTGCTGCAGCCTTCCTATCCTCTAAGATGTCCCTTTGCCCTTGCCTTGACCTCTTCTGTATTCACCTCCTGATATGCTCCCTAGGTTCCTTGAAGCCGGAGGTGACCCCAGCCCCAGTAAAGATGTGTCCCCGGCACCCCGAGCTTGTGCCTTTGGTTCACCCCCTCCCAGTGCTGAAGGAGGCCTTGGAGAAGGTTAGTGATAGCCCAGGAGGTTACTGGTAATGTGGTAAAGCTTGGCAGAGGAAGGACTCCTCTCTGTGTTGTGGTATTCATTCACTCATTCATTCACTAGACGTGCTTGTTTGTTTTTGGTTTTTGACATGTTTTCTCTGCATAACAGCCCTGGCTGTCCTGGAAGTTGGCTTTATAGACCAAACTGGCCTTGAACTCACAGGCATAGACCTGCCTCTGCCTCCTGAGTGCTGGGACTAAAGGCATGCGCCACCACACACAGCTTTCAACACAAATTTCTTGAGTGCCTGTTCTGTACCTAGAATTCTAGTGCTTGGGAGGCAGAGGCAGGAGGATCACTGCAAGTTTGAGGCCAGCCTGGGCTACATTGTGAGTTCTAAGACAGAAAGGGTGGGGAGAGACTGACCTAGTCAGTCTGTTAGGTGAAGGAAGCAGTTAAAAATAATACATATCTCTGACTTAGGGGCAAGAATGAAGATTAGGAGCCTGGGGTGGTGGCCCACACCTTTAGTCCCAACACTCAGGAAGCAGAGGCAGACAGATCTCTGAGTTCAAGGCCAGCCTAGTCTACAGATCAAGTTCTGGGACAGCCAGGGCTACACAGAGAAACCCTGTCTTGGGAGGAAGAAAAAAAGAGTGAAGATTTGTGTCTTAGGGTTTTATTGCTGTGAAGAGACACCACGACCACAGCAACTCTTGGGTAGCTTACAGTTTCAGAGGTTTAGTTCATTATCATCATGGCTGGACATGGCAGCGTGCAGGCAGATGTGGTACTGGAGAAGGAGCTGAGAGTGGAGAAGGAGCTACATCTTGATCTCGCAGGCAACAAGAAGTGGTCTGGGACATTAGGTGTGGCTTGAGCATATGAGACCTCAAAGCTGACCCCTGCAGCGACATTTTTCCTTCAACAAGGCCATACCTATTGCAGCAAGGCCATGCCTCCTAATAGTGCCACTCGCTAGGAACCCATAGAGGCCAATTACATTCAAACTACCACAATTAGGAAAGTTTTGGAGATTGTGGGGCTCAGGTGTGAGGTCTTTGGAGGTTGTCAGGGCCCTGGGAGGCCAAGGCTGAGATGTGAACAGGCAGGATCCCCAATAAAGAAGCTTGAAGGATTTAGGAGTGCACTCCAAACAGTGGGGCCAACATATGGAAAGGTCCAGAGGCAGTGGAGTGAGCACAGGGGATATGGAGAGGTGGGGAAAGAGGAACTGAGGGGGGGGTGACAGAGTCCATGTCACGGAGGCCACTGTAATATGGTCAAGCACATGCATGGGTACACACATACACAGGTGTGTATGTACATACACCAGGGCACAACTTGCACCACTCCAGGATGGCTCTCCTTGGTGCCAGTCAGATTCTGCCATGTGGGTCACTCACCTTAGGAAAATAGAGACAAAGGGATCAGGGTCAAAAACATCTGGGCAGCTGTGAGCTGAGGACCAGCAGAAGGAAAAGGGTGGCAAGTTCACAGAAATTTTATACCCAAAGATAAATAACAGCAACTTTGCTAGTTGTCGGTGACATATTGTTTTTATTCCTGGACTGAGTTGACATTCTTACTCCCTGTTACAGAACAAGGGAAGGTAGCCTATCCCCACACAGAGAGTCTCAGGAGACACTTTGCAACAAACATGCTTGGGTCCAAAATAGGGGTGGGGGAGATAACCCCACCTCTACAGCAGCTTCTTAGTGAACTCAAAGAGCACATATAATGTGCCAATATAATGTTGCCAATATAATGTACATCACAGGGTCACAGGACTCAAATGACAAAGCAGCCTCCTCCTGCTGAGCACTGTGGTATCAGTCAGGGGCTGTGCTGCCCTTTTTATATGCATGTCTAGGGAATCCCTGACTACATGGGTAAACTGAGGCCCCCGAAGACAGACTTACAGCAGGTGGGAACTAGGGACACATCTTAGGGCAGGTAAAGCCACAAGGCAAGGTGTCTGGTAGCTGATTAAGTAGAGGGGTTTGGGAGATGGCTCAGTGGTTTGTGCAAATATGAGGACCAGAGTTCAGATCCTCCACATGGCTATAAACAAATTGGGTATGTGAGGCCTGTCTATAATCCCAGCACTCAGGTAGAGAGAGGATTCCCTTAGACCAAGATGGTTAGCTCGACTAGCTGAATTGCTGAGTTCTGGGTTCAAGTGAGGGACCCTGATCCAATATATAAAGGTGAAGAGTGTTTTAGACACCCAATGTCAATTTCCAGCTTCTGTGTGCACTCCTCCCATGTGAACACACACACACACACACACACACACACACACACACACACACACACACACACACACGAAAAATCACACACTAGAGAGCCCTATGTCTAAAACAGGTGGGAGGGAAGCTGCTGAGAGAGTTGGGTCCTCATGGGGCATGGTGCTGGGATTACAAGGCCTGGAGGCTTGGAGGCTCTGGGGCTACAGCTGTGGGTGTGCTGAGGCAGGGTCAACAGCTGTCACTGCATCCACATTCTGAGTGCCTATTCTTCTTCCACAAGGTGGATGGAATTCTCCGCAAGGCAATGTTGGCCCCAGGCCTGGCTGCCATGTCTGCCCTTGTCATCCACAATGACACTGTGCTCTGGACTGGGAACTTTGGAAAGAAGAATGGCTCAGATCCAAATTCTGGAACCCCTAATGAGTATACCATATACCGGTTAGTGGGGTGACCTCTGGGTTCCCAGAGGGGATGTGCAGGATGGCAAGCCAAGCAGACATGGGAGGCAGGGACATTCAAGAGAATATGGCTGGGGTCCCAGCTGCCCGGGCCTATGGCTTAGTCCTGATAACTCTACAGAAGAGGAGACAGAGGTTCAGAGAAAACCAGGAAGTACAAGTACCCATTGTCACACCGCAGGGACCACAGGTGAAATGAGGAAAGGATCCCACCTCCTCACTTCTCAATGTGTCATCCAGGAGTGATAACCAGCTCCCAGCCCTGTGAGTCAGTGGCATTGACCCAGTTGGAAGTATCTGGGTATACTTGGCTGCATGCCCAGAGCCTCTCCTCTCAGGTGCTGTCTGCAGAGTCCTCATAGCTGCAACAATGGACACATTTGATCCTAGGGATGCTGTGGGGACTTCAGAGGTCTGATGGGATTTAGCCTTTACACTGCACCTTTGTGGTGCTAGACACAGGGCCCAGAGTTCTATTTGTCTTGCTTACCTTGTACTCATCACCTGTCTGCCATGCTGAGTGCTCTGCGAGTACACACACACACACACCTCCACCCCCCCCCCCATTATACCCCAAGAAACCAACAGTCAAACTCTCAGAAAGGTCTAGTAACTTGCCCAAGGACACACAGCTAGTGAGAGATAGGACTCACTAAATCCAGGTCTGTGCCAGTACAGATGGGGCTTGATAAAAGGTATAATATGGGGCAGGCACTGAACTGTCTATCCTATCCCAGCTTCTGGTACATTCTACCCATCTCAAGGCTCTCTACAGAGGCTGGGATTCAGCTGGAGTTGCAGACTAGGGTAGACTATCAAATATGAGAAGCCAGAGGCTGGGCACAGGGTGGGGAGTAGGCTGTGAGGTTGACTGGTTGCACTCTGTACTTCTATACCCCAACGAAGGATTGCCAGCATCTCCAAGATCTTCCCCGCGCTTATGCTGTACCGCCTGTGGGAGGAGGGCATCGTGGCCTCCTTGGATGACCCTCTGGAGCGCTATGCCAGCACCTTCTCTATCAACAACCCGCTGGGCAAGGCCCAAGACCCTGAACCACAGGGCCCAATGGGGGAATATGAGGAGATGGGCTCCCTCCCAAGGCCTTCTTCTGTCACTCTCCGGAGGATGGCCAGTCAGTTGTCAGGTGAGCCTCAGAGTTACCCAGCTGAGCCAATCCACATCAGAGGGGCTTGCGGGGCAGGCACAGGATGCAGACTCCCATCAATTAGGACCCTGCTTTGGTTCCTGAATGGCCATATTTCCAACCCACAGGCCATGGGTGGTAGCCATGGTAGAAAGAACCAAGGTAAGCCTTGGATACTTTTTTTTTTAAAGGTTTTATTTATTTATTATGTATACAACATTCTGCTTCCATGTAGCCTGGGATACTTTTTAAAGCATATTTTAAAAATGCAAGTATGTGTGTGCGTGTGTGAGTGTATGCCGTGTTTGGGGTGTGTGTGGGTGGGTGTGTGGTTATCCACCAGGAAATACACCCCCCCCCCCCCAGGCCCAGTTAGAGCTACAGATGAGCACTGAGAACTGAACTTGGGTCTTTTGGAAGAGCAGCTTTAGCTGTCATTTCTCTAGTACTGGGACTTACTATATTTGAGACAGGGTCTCTTGTAGCCCAGGCTGGCTCCAAACTCACTGTGTAGCTCAGGATGACCCTGAACTTTTGGTCCTTCTTTCTCTACCTCCTGAGTGCTAAGAAGCAGGCATGGGCCTCCGCATCCAGTATGTACGTTGTTGGGGGAAGGAATGCAGGGATTCAAACATGCTAAGCAAGCATTGTACCAGCTGAGCTCCATCCCTGGCCTGAACCTGGGAACACATGTTCCCAGACAAATGAGTCAGGATCTGTGTATCATGCCAATGGCCAGGCAACAAGTTAAACCCAGTAGAGAGCTCTACAGTGAAGACCTAGACTCCCTGAACACATACATAAAGAACCTGTGGAAAGCCAGAGCCCACAGGGGACATGGGTGATGGACAGAGCTGACACAGCACAGGAAAGGCTCCATGAAATAATAGAAGATGCCAATCTTGTTCATCATAACACACTTGCAAATTAAAACTACATAGGGACACACTGTCCCCATCAGACTGGAAAAGATCGAAACGGTGGGTGCACTGATTGGGGAAACCATGGCGGCAATGTCCTTGCCTACACCAGTGGAGGAAATTTAAATTGATTTAAATTTAACACCCCTGTCCTGGCTAGTTTTATGTCAACTTGACACAAGCTAGAGTCATCTGAGAGATAGGGAACCTCAATTAAGAAAATGCCTCAATAAGATCTAGTTGTAGACAAGCCTGTAGGGTATTTTCTTAATTAGTGATTGATGGGTGTGTGTGGGGGGGCTCAGACCATTGTGGGTGGTGTCACCCCTAGGCTGGTGGTCCTGGGTTCTATAAGTGCAGGAGTTTGTTGTCTCTTACCACCACAGGGGTTCTGGAGATTGAACTCAAGGAGTCAGGCACCTTTACCGGATAAGCCATCTTGCTAGCCCTAAATATTAAATATTTCAGGATGTATTAAATACGTTTGGAAGGATTAGTCTTGGAGGCACCTGCCTGCAATCCCAGCACCTGGAAGAGCAGGAGAGAAGAGATGAAAACAGTTTGCTTCCAGGAGGGTGGGGGAGGGCAGGGACAGGTGAGGACAGGTGATTTGGTGGCATCTAGGGAAGGGACTTCCCCAGCAAAGCACAGGTCCTGCTGGTCTGACCACTGCTCTCCCTAGGGCTTCCCCGAAGGCTGCGGGGCACTTCGCTGTTGTGGAGGGGCAGCACCCAGGAGGCTCTGAACCTGCTCAGGGATGATGTCCTGGTGGCTGACCCAGGAACCAGGTGAGGAGTATGCCCTGAAGTCCAGCCACACTTAAGTGCTTCCCCCAGATGGTTGGAGTCAGCAGGGTTCTGGGGATCGCTGAATTGAGCCCATTCTATATAGCCAGAAAGACCGAGGGCCCGAGAGGCAGGCACAGCAAGGCCTAGAAGAGCTGGGCTCAGAACACAGGTCTGTTTCAGTGTCCCTGTACTCATCAACCGAATTGTTTACTAAGTGTCTGCTCTGGGGACGGTGTGGTTGTGCACATCTGTAATCCCAACACCTGGGAGGCTGAGGCAGGAGGCTAGAGAAATGGAGGCCAACTCGAGCTATACAATGAGATTGTCTAAAAACAAACAAACAAAAACAACAAGACACAAAAAAGCAAGCACGGCAACTACTCCACCCAGAATCTTCTGGCGTTGGATACACCAGCAAACATGTGACCAAGGCTCCTTTTTATAGTTTGCACTGATGAGGGGGACACAGCGAAGGAATAAACGACACAAATACAGATTTTGCCATGATGAATAATGGTGTTTAGATTAAAGGTCTGACCATTGAACAAGAAGTGTGGCTTTGAGAGCTTGGGGGTGGGGGGTGGAGAATGGGCAACATACATCAGGCAGAGGCAGCTGGTACTCCTGGGCTACCCTGGGCCAGATTTCCCTCTGCTTCTCCAAATACTGGACTGTAGGTCATGTTATTCTTTTTCTCCTGGTGCCACCACACACCACACTGTCCTGGGGATGGTACATATCCAGGACCCCATCCTGATAACCCCCTTCTCTCCCTCCAGATGCCACTACAGCACTCTGGCCTTCTCGCTCCTTGCCCATGTACTGGCTGCGCACACGGCACAGGGAGACTATGAACGCTGGGTGTCTGAGCAGGTCCTGGAGCCTCTGGGGATGAGCGACACTGGCTTTGCACTGACTGGAGCTGTGCGTGCTCGCCTGGCTGCTGGCTTCTACGGCAGTGGCCGGTCAGCACCCCTCTACGACCTGGGCTGGTACCGGCCGTCGGGCCAGATGTACTCCACGGCTGCAGACCTGGCCAGGCTGGCGGCGGCGCTATTGGGCGCAGGGTCCCGACGGCTGCTGCGGCCCG